CTTGATTTCAAAGATCCTAATCTATACATACACAGGGTGTTAATGAATAGTGGGATCAAACTTATTGAAATAAGAAAAAAATTATTAGAAATGGGGTCCACAAATGCTTAGTTTTCAAGATACAGGGTGTCAAAGCTTGGAAAAATCGTGGCACATCACTGTTTTTTTATAACTTTGATGAAAGGTTGATGAAGTATTATCACAAATACACCTGTAGAATTTGAAAAAAAATTGGAAAAGGGATTTTTGAGCTAAAAAAACATTTTTTTCTTCAAACTTTAACACAGGATGTTGATTTTTATCTCAGCAACTATGAGTGCAAATGAGCTGACATTTTCAGGAATTGTAGTCCCTTGATTGGGATAAAATTCAGTGAAAGTTTCAGCTTTCTTTCTATAATAGAAAAAAAGTTATGCCCTTCCAAAATTTTCCAAAATCTTAATCATAAGGTTCTAACTAAAACGATTAAAATTACCAAATTTTTTTTTTGTCGAGATTTTGTATCCCAATAATCAATCAACATACCCCAAACTCCATACACTAAATTATTATCAGATTTGAAGCCGAAATCTATGAAAAAGGCACTCAAAAAAAAATTGAAAAATTGATAAATCACCCTAAATTGGCTTAACATGATTTTATCTCAGGAACTATAAGTGCAAATGAGCTGAAATTTCCGGAGATTATAGTCATTTGATTGGGATGAAATTCAGTGAAAGTTTCAGCTTTCTATCTATAATAGAGAAAAAGTTATGACCTTTCAAGGTTTTCCAAAATCTAAATCATAAGGTTCTTACTTCTTACTAAAACGATGAAATTTTAATTTTTTTTTGTTGAGATTTTGTATCCTAATGGTCACTCAACATCCCCCAAACGCAGTAGGTACTCTACCCTACCCTACTCAATTTGAAATAATATTTAAAGGATGCATCTTTGCAGTCTGAGATTTTATAGCTACTAAAAATCAATATTGATAAACCTTGGTGAAAGTTGGAAAATCGTCATTCACTAGTCAGCTCATTATAAGTTGGTGAATAATATTTTCAGCAAACTGTCTAAAAAATATAAATATTTTTCAAGCACAAAAAATGTGCAGAACATAAAGGACCCCGCAATATTTAAATGGAGATTGGTTACCCGTGATAGAGGTGGGAAACTATCGAAGAATCTAACTATCGATATATCGATAGTAACGAATAAAAACTATCGATATATCGATATAACTATCGATAAAAAAAAGAGTTTACGTTTTGGACCCATTTTGTATTTGGGGTTTCCGCATATTAGCAGGTCAGGGCAAGCCAAAATATTAATGTTAATGAACTCCAACTGCAGTGTGCACATGAAGATCTGAGATGAAGGCCCTACCCCAACAGCCTACGCCCTACCACTACGGCCTACGAGAACCAAGATAAAAAACATCAAGGTTGTTTGAGAGATGGTAGGTTGCCTGATAATTTTTATGGCGTCATCTGGGGTGCCTCAACATAATTCCAAATCTCCATAAGGTATAACCCCAGACCAGTTGACGTCATCAAGTTACCCATTACCAGACAACCTATTGACTTTAGGAACCTTAATATAAGATGAAATGTATGATATTTCTTAACACTTGACATTGCTGACATAAGAAAAGACAGGAGAACTGCTATCGATTGTCCAAGTAGAACTATCGATAGTTCGATAGTGTAGCAAACTATTGATATATCGATAATCACTATCGATAGGTTCCCACCTCTAACCCGTGATATTTGGATGAAATTTAAATATGTTATTGGGGATGCTGTAAGCAACATTTTTTACCATGGGCACAATCCTGTATATATGACAGGTGGGGCGTGATTGACTGTCAAATATTAGAATTTTATATCCAAAAACAGAGTAACTATGGCAGATTTTGATGAAGAAAAAATCTATTTCTAGTTAAGTCGAAAAATGTCAACCATTTTGACACCTGTCAAAACCCTGCCAAACGGCAGCACTCATCTTTTCCAGTTTTCAATATTTTATTTTTAACTTATATGTAAATTCTGAATTCAAAATTTGAAAAAAATGACATCATTGTGGATTTCATTTGTAAGTGTCAAAATGTTTGAGTACTTTAATGATTTCATTATAGTACTAAGTATTATAATGACTGTACTATAATGACTAATAAAATAAAATCCTTTATACTAAAACTACATACTTTAAAATGAAAATTGACATCTCTGTCAAAATCTGAAACCTGCGTATAATGTTTTTTTATGCGTTATCATAAATAAGCCTGACTTAAATTGAAAAAGAACTAGATTTGATTCTTTTTTGAATTAAAGCTATTGACAGATTCTGACAGCTGTCAAAATGTGACGTGCATGAACTTTGTTCAATGTTTTATCACCAATAAACTACCTTGAAACAAGAAAGAACCAGATTAGAGTATTTTTTTCTACTAAAACAAATGACAGGTTTTGACAGTTCTGTCATTTATTTTTTCAATTTTTGAATTCAGAATTTACATACAAGTTAAAAATGTCAAATGACATCATAAAATATTGAAAACTGGGAAAGATGAGTGCTGCCGTTTGGTAGGGTTTTGACGGGTGTCAAAATGGTTGACATTTTTCGACCTAACTTGGTCGCCTTAGTAGAAATAGATTTTTTGTTCATCAAAATCTGTCATAGTTACTCTGCTTTTGGATATAAGATTCCAATATTTGACAGCTAACCACGCCTCACCTGTCATATATACAGGATTGTGCCCATGGTAAAAAATATTGCTTATGGCATCCCCAATAACATATTTGAATTTCATCCAAATATCACGGGTAACCAATTTCCATTTAAATATTGCGGGGTCCTTTATTTTCAATACCTATAGTCCGACAAATACCATTTTAAAGTCACGTGATTTTGGTGGCAAAAAACGTATGTCCATTGATTATGTCGTTGATATCACCTACAAAAAGCTACTGGTGGTTAATTACTGTTGAATTTTAAGATATGTTCCCACTAGCATTTTAGAAACGCGTTTCTGAAGTAATATTAACCAATCAGATGGGAATTTTAATACTTGCAATTGTTGCGAGACTCACTTTTGATGCATCTGCTGCCCGGTGTAATTCATTCTGAACTTGAATTAGGTGCTCATTTTCTATTTGCTTCTTTTCGAGATGGAAAAAGGTTAATATAGTCGAAATTATTAGCTGTGTTTGTTCATTGTATCATTTTCGAAAATAACTTTGACAAACTAATTGATGACAGCGACGGATTCTATTTCAGGTAAGAATTTTATGAACAATAATTAGACACCAATTTTTTTTGTCAATTCTACTATCACCGCTGTTTGAGATGTATTCAACAAGGATAGAAAAAAATCACGTGACTTTAAAATGGTATATGTTAGACCATACATATTTCCATTTGTCAAATAAGAAATTTTTACATAGATGAATCCCAAATAAATTTGAGTATTGCGACTTCATTAACAAGTGGTGCAATTACCAATCTGAAAAGATCTAGATTTTACCTTTGTCATTTATTTGTAATAATTCAGTAAACTTTTTTAAAATTATCGAATGTAATACCACAAGAGGTTTCAGGATTACCAGATAATACTGGTAATCCTGGAAAATCGAGTTGTATTCATTAATTCTTTATTAATTAATAATTTCATGAATCAAAAATTTAAATTTTTTGTCAAAAAATGTCAATAGACCAGTTACCGTGCAAAAGGATTATCAGTTGTTAAGCCTTTCGTGTCATATGGAAAGGAGTATCACTTTTTAATCCTCTCGTGTCATTTGGGAATAATGTACAGTGAGTTGTATAATCTATAAAACATACATTTATAATTGTTAAGATTATTTCACATGCAATTCAGCTTTCTCACAGGCTTGTCACTTACTTTTTCTTGGTAATTTTGTTAAGATAAAAAAAAGATAAGAATGTATAACAATGAACTGATGACTGGGTACAATGTTCTTAGAAAAACGTCGTTTCACTTTAAGTAGAGTAAAAAATGTTTCATTAAGTACATATTTATGCATACATATTTATTTTAATTTTTGATTCATCCACTTACAAAACAATCATCTAACTGTAACTGTTGCTGTGCTGGTCTATTAAGTTTACAATAGAATTTTGTCTCAGTGTTTTGAGATTTTTGATTTTATCGAAAAACAATTTCTAAATATCAAAACGAACAACGAACTTCCCTTTTCTAGGGCTGTTTTTGACGTTCTGGAACATTCAGTCTTTGGACAAAAAGTTGAATATTTCAAAAATCAAAAATCAAACCACGCTATATTGTGAGCTTTTCCAAAGTCAAAAATAAACATTTTTGCAATAAGTACAACCTTCATTTTATTTATTATCTTTTTGAAAATTTTTTAATGTCAGTAGTGTATTTTATTTCTGGCCTCTTCAACTTGGAACTTTCGGCTCCAGCTACAGTCTCTTGAGAAGCTTAAATAGTGCACATCCACACTGATTCCTCCAATTTGAGATCATAAATCTTAGAAAATTGAATTTGTCTCTTGAGAATTTGGATGTTGAATATTTGCTTGTACCCCTTGCAAGCGGAAAACTGCAATTAAACTTTTTTTTTTCGATGCCTTTGTGTACAGACACATACATCTGTTTCTTATTCAACAGCTGCTTGTAACGATGCACTCACTATAGAATTATTGTGGTAGTTTAATTTGATATGCTACCACCTGTCGTTACTTGTTGGGTCTTAGGTCTGTTGTTATAAGTTTTCCCCTTTCACATACTAGAAGTGGTTATAGTTGGTTTTACAGACTGGATATTTTGTTATTGAAAGGTATTAAATTAGACTTTACGAATTATAGTTATAGTTATACTTCTTGTTCTTTTTGTCCGGATGTTAATTAGGTAAATTAGGTACTGTATACAAATAATTTTCAATATTCCTTATTAAGTTGTTTAAAAATTATATCCATATTAATTTTCTGTTTATTCATTTTCAGGTTTTTTGTTCATAGAGGCCCTAAAGCAGTATGAACGAGCTGGATAGTCTGAGACAGGAAGCTGAAACACTCAAAAATGCCATCCGGGTAAGATTTTACTTTATTAGGGACCGGTTTATTAATTTTCCAATAAATTTGCTGGTAACTGTTTACTTGTTTACAATGCAAATTATTGTCTAATTGCATCACCTGATAATTTAACAGAAGGTGAATAAACCAAGCCTAAAACAGTCATTGAAGGTTACAAATATCATCAATATTCTATCTATTTTTGCCTGCTCTATAATATGTGATATAAATGCATTAATAATAGTAATAATAATTAACTTATCGACACTGTTTCAAAAACGAATTTATTTAGTATTCTTATTTCACACCATGTCACATTTCTCAGTTTGTTATTAGATGATCATACAATATTTACTTAAAAAAAAAACTCTTGTTGCTTGCACTTTAAACCCAATATTATATTCTATAATTTGAAAATATTTACATAATATCTGATGATGCACCTAATAATTCGCTGGGAATTTACGTTTATTGGCATAGCTATTTGCTCCAGATAGATTTCCTGTTCTACGATTTTGAGTCATTGAAATTTCTTATTTTTCTGTTTTCTTTGGTCCAGTGATTGTGAAACTATGCCAAATAGGGCATCAATAGTAAACAATTTAAACGTGGGTGGTCTATCAGTAGTAAACAGGATGTTTGAAATGTAATTCAAAATAACTTAAGTTTATCATCAAGTTTTGATTTAATTTGCAACGCAACCATATATGTAATCTTGACATTACTGACTTTTTACAAATTTGGAAGTGTCACTTTACCTGTGTCAGTTCCCTCTTCGATTTCCCTCACCGATTTCCCTATTCGACTTCCCTCACCGATTTCCCTCACTCTAATTTATTTACCTTTGCTGGCAACAATGAGAACATGTCAGGTAAAAACGTCAAAACGGTGAATGACACATTTTGGCATGTTTGTTTTATTTTTTTAATATTGAAAAAATCAAATGACTAATCATAATTATTGGTGTGCTTGCAAATAAAATAGTATACAAACCTCAGAGGAAAGTTTTCATTTCTGTCTCGAGATTAATAGTCAATTTCGACGCTTCGCGTCTCGATTGACTATATAAATCTCTCGACAGTAATGAAACACTTCCCTACTCGGTATGTAATATACTATTTTCTGCGATTGACAAGAAATGTCAACATTATTGACCGGTTGGCAGATTGCAAAACTCAATATTCTGGTAGTTCAATTATGTTTCTATAGTTGCTAAGGAATCAATGAATAACAATACGGGAAACACTTTTCCGGCCTAGGCTGGGAAAGTGATTCTCGTATTGCTGAATAATTGCAACAAAAAAACAAACATTTAACAGATATTTAACCGATCGCAGAAAAAATAGTATGTGTATTTCGGTGGAAAAGCACATTCTCGGCCGACGGTGTGAGTTGACGGGCGAGGCGTAGCCGAGACCGGCAAACACCTAAATACACCTAAATACACAATATACTATTGTAGGAGTGAACTATGTACTTATTTGATACTTTATTTGATTTTTCCTTTTTGCTGTTTGAATAAGTAAAGTTCAGTGTATCCTCAACAAATATCAAATAAGTATGTTTTCTTTAGGATGCCAGAAAAGCGGCGGCGGATACGAACCTGGCAGCGGCCACCGCCACCCTGGAACCGATCGGACGGGTGCAGATGCGCACACGCCGAACGCTCCGCGGTCACTTGGCGAAAATCTACGCGATGCACTGGGGCTCGGACAGCCGGAATTTGGTGTCCGCCTCGCAGGATGGCAAGCTTATTGTCTGGGACAGTCACACCACCAATAAGGTTCATGCGATACCTCTCAGATCGTCGTGGGTAATGACGTGCGCGTACGCGCCCTCAGGGTCCTATGTAGCTTGCGGTGGATTAGATAACATATGCTCTATTTATAGCCTAAAAACTAGAGAAGGTATAAAGATCAATGAGTCGCTATTTTTTTAAAAATTTAATCACGAATTGTTTCTTTAGGAAATGTCAGAGTAAGCCGAGAATTACCTGGGCACACAGGGTACCTATCCTGCTGCCGTTTCCTCGACGATAATCAAATTGTGACCAGTTCAGGTGATATGTCCTGTGCCCTGTGGGACATTGAGACTGGACAGCAAGTGACCAGTTTTCTAGGACACACCGGAGACGTTATGTCTTTGTCTTTGGCGCCTGACATGCGTACATTTGTCTCAGGTATGTAATAGTATATTACATACCGAGGTGGAAAGTGTTTCATTACTGTCGAGAGATTTTAGTTAGACTGAGGCGCAGCCGAGGTCTAACTAATAGGCGTATTTTAGCGAGAGTTTTAACCCAGTAGTATGTTGTATTTACTTGGGATACTACATTTTAGCGAGCATGGCTAACATACTATGACGTCACAACATAAAACTCGACTGTAAACATGTAAACATCCTAGGAGGGATAGTTACTGGTTGTAGTATGTCAGTGCATCTTTTTCTAATACACGAAAATGAGCATATGGGCAAAACATCAGCTGATTACGCTACGATTACCGACACAGTTCTTTCCATTATAAATAGAGGATTGTTTTTCCTCATCTTGCCAAGGTTTTCTGTGATTTTATTTTAGAGGTTTTTTGCAAAAAAAAATACAAAATCTTCACTTGTGCACAAAAGTGTAATTTTTTTTTTTTTTTGGCATAGGGTACCCATAAAATTCAAAAATACCACAATCTATCAAAAATATTCGAAAATCTTCACTGGAGAAATAATATTGAAACTCGAAAACGCTAAATTTTACAAAATTCAACAAATCCAAATAAACAACGATCGTGGCGTCCTCTCTTAGACCCTTTGTCAAATACACTCCACCTGTTATTTGGGTAACTATGACGTCATGAATCGTAGTATGTGTAGTATGATGTTTACCTGTCGCTAAAATACGCCTAAAATCTCGAGACAGTAATGAAACTTTTCACCGAGGTATGTATACTATTTTATTTACAATCATTCAAATTTTTATATCTTTATTTGAATTGAAACCAAAAAAATACAATAATTAACAATTTCATTTACTTTCGGCCCACGGGTCGAAAGTTTAGCCCACGGGTCGAAAGTAAACTTTCGACCCGTGGGCCGAAAGTAAAAGTCAAAAAAGTGACATTTTCAAACTTTTTAAAAGTCAGTAAAGTCAACATTACATGTATGATTGTAAATAAAACGATTTTTCAAACTAACTTAAAATTTTCATGAAGTATTCATCTTATTGGTTCATTCCTAATTTAAGAAGTTATAATTTTCAATTTTTTTCTTCCAGGTGCCTGTGATGCGTCCGCAAAACTGTGGGACATCAGAGAGGGCATGTGCAAACAAACGTTCCCGGGCCACGAGTCTGACATAAACGCAGTCACATTCTTCCCTAACGGTTTTGCTTTTGCGACGGGTAGTGACGACGCAACTTGCCGTTTATTCGATATCAGGTATGTAGGCGAAATTCTCAATAATTTGTACAAGCATTAATTTTAAAAAATTTACATTTAACAAAACAAGATCATCAATAAATCATACATTTTAACAAGGACTTGAAGATTGAATAATTCTTACTAATAATTGATAATTTGTTTTAGGGCGGATCAAGAATTGGCGATGTACAGCCACGATAACATAATCTGTGGTATCACCAGTGTGGCGTTCAGTAAATCTGGCAGATTATTATTGGCAGGATATGACGACTTCAACTGCAATGTGTGGGATTCAATGAAAACGGAACGGGCAGGTATGTATTTTATCTGATCATACAAACAGTACTTTCTGTAGTATATTTCAAATATATGAGTTTGAAAAAATAACTTGAGAATGTCTCGTGAGTAAGTATTCTGCTAACAATTAATGAAAGCAATAATTCACTAATTAATTCTTGATGCCATTGATTTTAATTTGGTTACAACCTGAAAAAACTTGTTACCAATTTTACATTACTAATTAAACCAATAAATGTATTTCAATTCAGGTAGGGAGAAACATTTTCTCTCACTCCTCTATTTTTCCAAAGAACTGTTGAGAAGAAACTTTTAGAAAAGAAAGAGGAAGGTTAGAAGCCCATTATACCAAAATTTCAAATATGTAAATCCAAAAATTACATGAAAAGTTCTTGGGCATAAACTTTCAAAATGACCCATAAACTTAATTCAAACAGAAACATCCTCTTGCACTTTTATATTTTCCCAAAAAAACAGTGGAGGAGGAAATTTTGGAAATTTTAAACAAGAAAGAGAAAGGTTAGAAGCCCATTATACTAGAATTTCAAATGGATCCAATGAAAAATAACCACAATGGACATGAACTACGAAAATGACCAATGAAATCAATTCAAACAGGAACATCCTGGTCGCACTCTTATAGTTTTCCAAAAAACTGTTGAGGAGGAAATGTTGAAACTTTTAGAAAAGAAAGAGAAATATAGGAAAACGAGATCCCAAAGTGATTTAATTGACTTCAAGAAACTTAAAGCAATATCTAAACGCATTCTAAAAGAAAGCAAAAAGCAGTCATGGAACAAATATGTGAATACACTAACTGTAGAAACGGGACCGAGTGAAGTTTGGACTTAAATAAACCAAATACAAGGCCGCGATATAAAATCCAAAATTACAGCCATAAGACATGAAAATAAAATTATCATAGATTGTCAAGGTCAAGATATTGCAAACATTCTAGCCAATCACTTTGAAGAAAAAGTCATAAGAGCATCCTACGCTGTCCAAACAAAATCCACACTGCATTCGGACTCAATCAATCGTCTATTCACACAGGAGGAGCTATGGTATTCCCTCTCAAACTGTAAGAACTCTGCAGCAAATCCAGACGTTATCCCATTCGTTTTGCTAAAAAATATACCCGAACCAAGCCTTAATAAATTACTAGAATTGTATAATAAAATATGGGATACTAAAGAATTTCCAACGCAGTGGAGCCAATCCATAATTCTATCATGATAAAAAAACGCCTACTCTGGTATCTAGTGATAAATAAGTTACTGAACGATAATCAATCAGGTTTCAGATCACAAAGTAGTACTAATGATAATCTAGTTACACTACAGACATTAGTCATCAATGCATTCTCAAAAAAACGAAATGTTGTAGCAGTAGTTTTCGACATTGAAAAGGCCTTTGACACAGCTTGGAAATCACAAGAAATTAACCGAAATAAATCTCGTTGCAATATCAAGAACTTTCTTGCAAACAGAACAGCACAAGTATCTGTTAGGAGGAAAAATGTCACAAATGCTCACCCTAGAAGACAGCGTTCTTCGAGGAGCAGTTCTTAGTACTACCCTCCTCAACTTGGCAATAAATGACATCTGTGAATCAGTTAGTGCACCAGTAAAGTATACCCTTTATGCAGATGCCCTTATACTGTATTGTACATTTAGGTAGAAATTCAGCATCTACTTCTTCTACAAAATGCAGTTAATAATCTTCAAAATTGGTCAATAGCAACCGGCTTCAAATTCTCAAGCTACAAAACTAAAGTAATTAGATTTAGCAGATATGTTCTGCATATAACTATGAATCATGTCCCTTCACAAGTAGTAGAAAGTTATAAAATACTGGGATTAACTTTTGATTGTAAACTTACTTGGAAGAAGCATATAGATGAAATTATGAGACATATAAACATTTTAAAAACCTTAGCAAATCATCAATGGGGAGCGCAAGCCATAGTATTGCTCAGGGTATACAGGGCTCTAATCAGATCCAAATTGGACTATGGAAGTTTTGTCTTTTCCTCTGCCAGCAAAACTGCTCTCAGAAACTGTTTGCGGGCGTTCAAATCCAATCTGACAGAATCATTACACTGCAAATCCAATGAACAATGAACCCCTGCTAATTTTTCAACGTGATCAGCTCCTCTTAACATACGTGGCACAACTATCTGCAAATCCCCCTAATCCTCTATTGATAATATTCTTATTATGTCCCAGGCAAACTACTCCAATACTGATAAACCTCCTTACTCCATTCTCTATGGACTCTTAGAGAACATTGATCTTTTCAAAACTCAGTGCATACCAACCATACCACCCTAAATGAAACTTTACGAAATAAGTTGTGCAGTCACTACAATAGACTACAATAGCCAGATATGCCCTTCCTAGCTATTGCATAATTCACACTGCAGAGCTATATGGAATCTACAGGCCCTTTCATTCCATCACTGGTGAAAACAAGACCATAACCATATGATTCACTTTTGTTAATTCATTCCATAAACAACATCTTTACACAAAATCAAGTGCAGTCTCATTTTTGTGAAAAATTAATTACAAAGGCGGACATTGAAAATGCCTTGAAGAAAATTAAACCTAACAAGGCAATCGGACCTGATGGTGTTCCGGCCTATATTTTTAAAGGTTGTGCTGAGCATTTATTGAGCCCCCTTGAGCCCCCTTCAGTTTTTATTTAATTTGGTCATCAAAACCTCAATATATCCTGATAAATGGAAGGTAGCCAAGGTCATACCAATTTATAAGAATGGCATAAGGCAAGACATTAGAAACTACCGCCCTATATCTATTGTGTGCGCTGTATCTAAAATATTTGAGGTCATAATTTTTGAGATTTTATATAACGAAGTTGCAGCAAAACTTTCCCCCAATCAGCATGGTTTTTTGCCAAAGAAGTCAACATTTACAAATCTGGCATGTTTTTCACAATATATCCATAATGCCTTTAACAACAAAACTCAAGTTGACGTAATTTATACAGACATGGAGAAGGCATTTGATAGAGTTAGTCACTGTGGGATAATAAATGCCTTGTCTGACATGGAAGTTTCTCCATTTTTAATTAAACTTACAAGTTCATACTTAACTGGCAGATTTCAATATGTTGAGATTAAAGGCTGTAAGTCTGTTCTATACCAGAGTACGTCGGGAGTACCCCAGGGATCTAATTTGGGACCATTACTTTTTATAATTGCTATAAACAGCATTCTCAGCAATGTTAAGGGCAGTATGGCTCTTTTGTTTGCCGATGATTTTAAACTTTTTTTGGAGATTATTTCTTCTATTGATTGTGAATTGTTACAAAACGAATTTTCTAATGTTGTTAATTGGTGTCAAGAAAATAGTTTTAAGTTAAATTCAAGCAAGTGTGCTTGTATGTCTTTTACACTTAATAAGAAACCAATAGATTTTAATTATACCATGAGTGGCGAAAAACTTGATAAAGTTAGTAAGCAGAAGGACTTGGGAGTCATTTTTGACAGCAGTCTTTCATTCTCTGAACACATTATAACAAAGATACAGAGCGCACAGAGGATAGCAGGTTTTATAGCACGCAATACTAAGACTTTTAGGGTTGATGTAAGCCTTCATTTATTTGATAGTCTGGTGTTGCCTATCTTGGAGTATGGGTGCTTGATATGGTCGCCCCAATATAATGTATGGATAAATATTATTGAGGGAGTGCAAAGAAAATTTTTAAAGACTATGTATTACAGAAGGTTTGGAGTCTACCCTCAGAGGGGCTGTGATAATGGCTTCCTCTTAGGAGTTTTCAATAGACTATCTTTGGGTAAGAGACGTGTGAAGATTTTCTTATGTACTATGTTTAAAATTCTGAAGGGTGACATTGACTGCCCTGATATCCTTGAACAATTACCATTTTCTGTAAATCGTTGTAATTCTAGAACCACAAATATCTTCTACCTAGCTTTTCCACGAACCAACCTATTTAAAAGCTCCCCCATTTATGGTCTTTGCAATCTTTTTAATTTGTATGCATCTGACATAGACATAGACCTGATAAACTTTAAAACATTTAAAAACTTAATTGACAAAAAATTGCGCCAGAGTTAATTTTGGGTAGTTGCCGGATCGTAGTATAAATTTTATCAATAGTTAATTTTATTAGTTTTTCTATTTTAAATTTGCTGTAATCTGTGGTCTGTATACCTGTTTGTACTTACCGCATCATATATTTTATATTTTATATTTAATAGTTATAATGTCTTTATTTTATCATGTTATCCGATTTTATCTATATGTAGCTTAAATTATTTGTCTTCTTCTTAGAACCAATTTTTGTTAGGTAGTATGTATTTTGACATTTGTATTTAGACTATCTGTTTAATATATTTTCTATAAGATTAATTTTAAGCATACAGGTATCTGTAATTGGCAATTTGCTGTTGATATCTCATTGAATAAATAAATAAATAAATAAATAAAAAATCCCCTGGCTCAAAATATACAGGATATATATCGGCACCTATCAGGTTAAAATATTGACATTAAAATACTCTGGGTGTCATCCCATGTCGGAATATGTGGAAACAAGAAAGCAGATCAAGCAACCAAATTCCATAGAAGAAATGCAAAAGGTGACCTGAAAAACGAATGCAAAAGGAAAATCCTAACCAAGTGGCAAGCTATTTGGAGCCAATCAAATTCCAAGCTATCATAGGTATTCAACCAAACCTACCAACCCATAATTTGCCCATTATGAACGGATACTATAATAATACATAGAATAGGATACACCCGAGCTACACATGGATACTTAATGGAAAATGGTGATCCACAATTATGTGAATTCTGCACCGGAATCCGGACAGTAGAACATATTATTTCCGAGTGCTCTCAATAGTCTCAATACACCGAAATCAGAAAAAATCTGAATATTAGCGCAAACTTTCGGGAAAACTTTTCAAACACCAAAATCAAAATAGTGCTACAGTTTTCAATAGACATTAACATGTATAATAAGATATAATTTCCTTAATTTTCTCCTGCTGTAATTTTTGCTTTTGACCTGTATACAACTGCCTCCTGTGAAAAACTGAAGGACTAAAATTATTCTCAGATTTGAGGCCGAAATCTATGAAAAAAAGCATCAGAAAAATTGAAAAATTGATAAATCACCCCAAATTGATTAACACGATTTTATCTCAGGAAATATAAGTGCAAATGAGCTGAAATTTTCAGGGATTGTAGTCCCTTGATTAGGATAAAATTCAGTGAAAGTTTCAGCTTTCTATCTATAATAGAAAAAAAGTTATGACCTTTCAACGTTTTCCAAAATCTAAATCATACCTTCTTACTAAAACGATGAAATTTCAAATTTTTTTTTGTCGAGATTTTGTATTTTAATGGGCAATCAACATTCCTCAAACTCCATACACTAAATTATTCTCAGATTTGAAGTCGAAATCTATGAAAAAAGGCACTCAGAATAATTGAAAAATTGATAAATCACCCCAAATTGCTTAACACTATTTTATCTCGGGAACTATAAGTGCAAATGAGCTGAAATTTTCAGGGATTGTAGTCTTTTGAAAGGGATAAAATTCAGTGAAAGTTTCAGCTTTCTATCTATAATAGAAAAAAAATATATGACCTTTCAAAGTTTTCCAAAATCTAAATCATAAGGTAGGTACCTACTTACTAAAACGATGAAATTTAACAAAAAAAATTGTCGAGATTTTGTGTCCTAATGGTCATTCAACATCTCCCAAACTCCATACACTAAATAAATGGTCTCATTGGTTACCCATCCGCGTACCACTGATATTCATAATAATACTAATAATAACAATAATAATGATAGAAGTCAAATCTTCACTGAAACATGCGCAGATCCATTTCAGACGTAAAATTTAACCAACTTTCTTATGTTATTTTGTGTATAAATAACATAAAGCATTACTGTAATGTAAGGTCAACTTTTTAGGACCATCACACACAGTTTTGCACAATGCATAAGCATAACCCCCAACCAATCACAGCTTGTATTATAGGTCAACTAAAAATCAGGTGAACTTTTATACAGCTTGTGATTGGTTGGGGCTTATGCTTATGTGTTATGCAAAACCGTGTGTGACAGCCTTTATTATCTTATCTTATGTGTCTGTATAAACCCGCCTTAATACTTCAAAATGTATGAAAAACTAATTAATATGCCAAATATTTTCTTTTTCTAGGTATTCTAGCTGGTCACGACAACAGAGTAAGTTGTCTGGGAGTGACGGAAAACGGAATGGCCGTAGGCACCGGCTCCTGGGACAGCTTCCTGCGCATCTGGAACTAAAAAATAAAATCGGACGCCGCCGTGTGCTCCTCCCCCCCACAACAAAAAAAAAAGCCAAAATTTCCGTTTTCAAAATCTCACCTACATCACCCAAGTGATTGTTTATTTCGTTCTCGCACCACACGTCATGTAAGTGTCATTTACCTTTTTTCCTGCTCATCTAATTGACTTAAGTAGAAAGCATTTTTATTTTATTTTTTTTTGCGACAAGAATATTATTGCCATGTGTTACATTTACTAAGGAAGAAAAATGCATTTTATTATTGATAACTACTTTGTATTTTGTAATTACTATTATATATTTTTTTATTTATAAGTATGTGTATATTGAAATATTTCTTTACTATTATTACTATTGTTTCCTTTTTTTTTTATATCAACCTATATACGCTGCGGCTTTATTTGTATTCAATTTTTTTCTTAGGAGAGACACAAAATAGTTAATTTTCAGCTTGTGTGATTATTTCCGAAAAAAAAAAAAGGAAAAAATTCTATAGGCCTGTATGTGTGTATGTATATTATTTTAGTGATTATTTATTTACTTGTTAAAAAAAGTGTCAACAATTGAATAAAAAAAATAAGTTCAAGAATTTTTTTTTGTTTTGTTTTCGTTTTTTTTTTTCTATAAAAATAAGTCAGTGTTGTAGGTGAGACGGGGACAATTTTTATTCAGATCAGAAGGCTCATTGTTATTGCTTTTTTTTCAGTAAAAACATTTTTTTAGGCAAAAAAGAACCAAATAGTTATACATATTTCATTCTATCACAGTTACTGATAATTAAATCTGAATAAAAAAACAATATATAAGGCACTCAAGTTTCTCTGGGCTAAAGAAACGTCGATTTTTCTTTGAATTTTGTACGTAAGTAAATGGATAGCTAGTCATGAAAATTTAATGAAGGTCATATTGCTTTTGGGTTTTTTATATTCATAGAAAATTCTAATAAATATTTGGAAAATATTTATTATAATGGTGATTTCCAAATTTGAGTCTTTGTACTTGGACTGTAAAAGTACCTATTTTTGTACTCTTTACAAATTTGATGAATACAAAAATATCTATATTTGTTTTTTTGGATAGTATAAAATCATATTCAAATAAGTTGCAGGTTATTTATGTAATGAGTTGGATCATTATCACATGAAAATAGTGCAGAGAAAAATTAGAAGTTGCGCCTCTCTACTTCAGCCTGGCAATATGAGATATTTTCAATGATAATTAGGGTTGTGGCATATGGGGTTGTGTGCTTTTTAAAGCAATCCAAAAACTTTAAATTAATTTTTGTTTTTACCGAAGTCTCAAATTTGAAGAAACAACTATTTGTGTTGAAGTAACATTTTACCTTCTATGGTATTGAACAACCCAAAAACAAATTATCAAAAATAATGAAACACTTTCATTGGGCAGGTTTACCAACTAAAAAATTAATTATGACAAAAAAAGATTAAGTGAAAGAAAATACTGCCGTGTCATTTTGTTTTTAAATTAAATTAAACTAAACTATAAGCAAGATTTCATTTTAAATTTGTTTTCTATGTGATTGTAATTTATGTTTTTGAAAAGGTGATTTGCATTATAGAGTCTGCGATTTACCTACGAGGGAAAATAATCAAATCCTGAAAAGTGAAGGTTTTATGGTACAAAAACACCTTGCCCAGCACTATTCCACTATACAATTCTGCATAGAAATAGTGGTGGGAGAACTAAATACTAAGATTAAAAAACAAAATAGTAATAAAAAAATTATTCATTAAATTGAAGCTTTTTGCTTGACATGTAAAGTATGTTTTACTTAGGGCCAAATTATGGACTGACTGGTAAACGTCTGGTCTAGCAGGTACTTTCTATGCAATAGAGAATAGAAAGTACCTGCTAGGTAACAACCAGACACTTACCAGTAGGTCCATAATTTGGCCCTTAAAAAGAGTTTTTTTTTTATTATTACAAAAAATGAAGTTGTGTTAAACACAATAATTTGTTTTCAAAATTTTGTTTTTAATAAAAATTATTTATTACTAGTGTTAAGGCAACCAAAAAAGTATGTACTGTATATATGAGAAGCTACAAAAAAGGTTGGGTCATTTTAGATTCTTTTCGGGTTAGGAAAATATTACAATTTCCTCGGATAGTTTTAAATTATTTTCAGCTCTTGTTGGATTTTTTCATTTTTCTAAACAAAGTGACAAAATTTAACTTTACCAAGTGCTGAACTTGTTTGGGCTCAAAAACTATTTGGGAATTTTGGTATTTACCAAGGTAATAATTATGCTATCCCTTGAATATCTATAACAAACCCGTGGTATATCAAAAAAAAAAAAAAAAAAACCCCAGAGAAACTTTTAAAAGGGTTTTTCTGGGTCAAGAGACAAACATCCACTTAGGCTTTGTGAATGTGTTTTTTATAAAGTTAGGAACAATTGTCACAAAAATATAAACTACTCTTATACGTCTGACGAAACTGAATCGTTCTTTTTTGAATTTTCGGGCACAAAAATATGCATAATTTTTACTTTACTTGTATAATATGCTTTAGACAATTTTTGCAAGGAATTCATACTTCATTAATATATTGTTTATTCACTATTCAGTAAAACATGAAGACAGAAACTACAAATTTCAAGCCACAAGTAATTTGTGATTTGAATGCTACAAGTTGTGTAGTTTTCGTCAACAGTTTGACTACAAAACTGACATCCTAATAATTATCAATGCGAGGCGAGCACAATTTTTTATTACCAGAAAAGCATTGAAAAATGAAAATCCTTTGCGATTTTTCAATGACCAAATAAGCTTCTACATTTGTTTTTTTAATACATAAAATACCTCCTAAGAAACCATTGCGAGCTCCGTGAACCAATTTAGCATCGTACTAGCAAAATGGCCGAATCAATCGAAGCCGTTTTGTCGTTTCGAAGCGCACGAGTTTTTTTGTTATTTTTGCTATTGTACTTGTTTACGTAAGTTTAAGGTAAACCCACGACGCATTTCGAAACCGGCTGCTGCGCCTGTTTGAAATGGGGCGGAAATTTTTTCAAATGAAAAATACCAGTAGATTTTAGTCATATTGTCTTTTTTTATTGTTAATGATTAAAAAGAAAAAAGGATGCAGTTAATTGAGAATGTCGTATGATATAGCATATATGTAATAATGTAATGTAAAACTACAAATAAAATAAATAAAAATTACTATTTTTTTGGTTTTATTTTAATAATTAGGATTGTGTCTATCGCCTCGATAATTTCTGAGCGAGATTGAAAATGAGTCCATCCTTGAAATCTTCATTGGTGCAATATAAGAATTTTTCATTGGATTTCTTAAATATTTAATCTTAAATAAATAAATAAATAAATAAATTCTTTATTTACGGACATGCCATTTTTACAAAGGTAGACTTAAAGTGTAGGTACACGCAATAATAAATATTTGGAATAACAAGTAGGCAACAGACAAGATAGTATAAAAAAACAACATTACATAAGCCTAAACAAATATTTTGTAGTAGGTATCAAAACACAAACAACATAATACGCTTAAAATTGAATACAAATAGAAAAAACGATCATTTTAGGATCGACTTTAAAATTCTTTTGAATCTATCCAAACTTATGTTAAAAACATCCAAATCAGTCTTCAAAATAATATCATTCAGAGAACGACAGCTTCTAAGTAAAGGTGAATGGTAACCATAATTGGTTCTACGAAAATCAAGGTTAAACAATGTGTTTCCTCTTAAATTGCTAGATGGTACATGTAAGCCAATTCTAGCAAGTAAGTCTGGAGAATCAATAGAATTATTAACAATCTTAAACAAAGTACACATATCAAAAAACTGTCGCCTCTGGTTCAGATTTTCAAGATTTAGGACAGACATTAACTCATTATAATTTATAGATTCACTTGGGATGCCCAATCGATATGCAATGGATCGTAAAAACTTTTTTTGGATTCGTTTCAAGTGGGAGATGTGCACAGCATAATAAGGGGACCAGACAGGGCAAGCATATTCTACAACTGATCTAACAATTGCACAATAAATGTTTCTTAGGGTGTAGATATTAGTAAATTCTTTTAGTGATCTGAACATAAAGCCTAGTAATTTCATTGCTTTATTAGCAGTTATTTCAATGTGCTCTGTGAAGCTTACATTAGTGTTGAAATAGACTCCCAAGTCTCTAATAGTTTCAACCCTGTTAATCTCCAAATCATTAAGAACGTAATTATGTAAGTATGGTGTTTTTTTTCCGAGAAAAAGTAATAATCTTACACTTCTCAACATTTAAGGGGAGTTTGTTTCTTTGACACCAAGTCCGAAACATATCTAAGTCCACTTGCAATAATTGAGCATCCCTGACATCCCGAACAACCATAAAACACTTCAAGTCATCAGCCAAGAGCAAAAAATCGGAATTTCTGAAGACACCTGACAGATCATTAATAAATATACTAAACAGCAAAGGAGACAGGTGTCCTCCCTGAGGCACCCCCGAGGTCACCGAAAATACTGAAGAGATGTAATTCTCAATTTTTACAGCCTGTTTTCTACCTGTGAGAAGACTTCCAATCAAGCTCAATAGACCTCCATGCAGCCCCACATCGGCCACCTTCTCCAATAGTATCTTATGGTCAACCCTGTCAAAGGCCTTGGAGAAGTCAGTGTAGACCGAGTCAATCTGACACTTATTCTCCAACCCCTCCAACAGAGCCTCCTCATAGACCAGAAGATTAGTCAATGTAGATCTACCCTTAATAAAGCCATGCTGTTCTGGTACAATAACATGTTTCAAAATTGGTGTAAGAAAATCCGTTATTATAGACTCAAATACCTTAGAAAAAATAGACATTCTGGATATGGCCCTATAGTTTTTAATATTATTTCTTTCTCCACTTTTAAACACAGGAGTTATATAGCTTAATTTCCACATATCAGGAAACCGTCCCAACTCTAAAGCCTTATTGAATATTTTACATAATATCTCTGAAAGAATACAACTACAATTCTTAACAAATAATACTGGGATGTCATCAGGACCACAACCCAATCCATTCTTCAATGAATGTATCTTGTTAAATATATCAAGAGGGGTAATTTGAACCGAACTGATACTGCAATTAGACAAACTAGATAAATTAGAGACAGGAATGTTTCGATCACTCTCAACACTCACCTCAGTATAAACCGAGGAAAAACTATCCTTAAAGAGATTGACAATTTCATGAGGTGTGCTACCTTCATGCTCATCAAGAAACATAGAACTGGGATATCCACGATTTTCATTTTCCGATCGTACATATCTCCAAAATCCATTTCTGTCCTGTGTCTCGGACTCGATTTTCTCAATGAAATTCCTATGGCTGATATGAGAATAAATTTTACATTCTTTCCTAATTTCTGAAAAAACTCCATAATCCTGAGCGGACATAGTATTTTTATAGTTTTGATGTGCCTTTTTTTTAGACAAAATTAAACATTTTAAATGATTATCCACCCATCCCGGAAATTTTGCTGTTTTTCTTTTTGAAATGGGTGTAAAGATCTCAATAGCATGATAAATTTGATTATAAAAAGTATCGACAGCAGAGTTTATATCATCCATTTTTTTGACAGGGACAATAGTTCAATCAGTTGCTGTGTAACTTGTTGGATTCTTTTAACTTATGTATGCATGTCGATCAGCCAACCAGACGTACAGCGTTGTCATCATCTGTCCTGGATTATATATGCTCCAACATTGATGCAGACTTGGTGGCGTGTAATACTACTAATGCTGGGTTGTCTGACCATGAGGCTGTACACTGTTGTATCCCGTTTGGAGTACACACTGAGCATAAAATAAGACGGGGTAGGCTGTATACAGCAAGGAACTTTGAAAGGTTCAAACTGTTGTGTGCACGGTCTGACTGGAATGGTGTTCTTGCCACAAACGACTCATTGGTAACGCTCCACGCTATTGTTCATAACAATTTTAATACATCCTTTCCAATTGTTAATTTAAAAAAAAGAAAACGTAAACCTTGGTATACCCAAGGATTGCGTATCTCTGGGAAAAATATGCGTTCTCTTCACTACATAAGAAAATATTCCATGAACAACCAAGACTTCACTCAGTATTTTTATAGGTATCGCCAAATTTACCGAAATTCCATAAGACAGGCTAAAGACATGTATTACCGTGATAGAATCAAAAATTCCTCCAACACATCCAAAGAATCGTGGAAGATTGTTAGTGACTTATTGGGGAAGAATAATAATAAAAAGGTAGTTATGAGCAAGTTAAAGGCTAATGATCTTAACCACTTTTACTGTAACATTGCATCCAATCTAGCTGCTAGTATTCATCAGCCGCTTGATCCTAGGGCCTATCTAGAGCACATTGTGGATTGGCTGATATTGAGGTACATACATCTTTATTACTACAAAATATCAAATCCAGAAAGTTCCCATAAATATTAGAAATATTATTCACTTGATATAAGCTATGGAAAGCCATGCAGTCAGCCAACTCTGTGGTTTGTTCAGATTGTTTACCAATAGCCCTAGTCCCATGCAAATCATTGATCCAGGACACATCCGGTCTATTAAAATCTCCACATAAATAGATTTCCAAGTTTTGACAACTACTACATATTTCCAACGCAGCTGTTACGGATGAGCAGTAACTTTCATAGGTATCTATAGAAGAATCTGGGGGCAGATAAGCATTGCCCAACAAAATATGATGCTCTTTCAAAGAAACCAGTACAAAAATGTGCTCCACTGATTCAAATTGAGTAGATATCTGTCTACAATTAAGAGACTTCCTCACTGCAACCATGACACCCCCTTGTGACTTATGGACACTGGTTCTATCAGAACGATCACAGCGAAATATTAAGTAATTACTCATTCCCAATTCGCTCGACAAAATGTCTTTATTCAGGAAAGTCTCAGTAAATAACACAAAATCATAGTTTTCCGTGTAAATATTGCACATAAGGGTGGTTAGTTTTGTTCTCAACCCCCGCACATTTTGATAGTAGCCTGTTAGAGCTACCCTGTTGCCAGAATATGTGTCTCCTGAACAAAATTTGATGGTCGATCATTTCGAGGTGTTCTATCTTGCCTGTCATTCAATTGTGAATCCAGCTTCACTCCCTCATTTCTAAACTGCCGTGGTCTAAATTGAAATTCCTTAAAAACCACTCCACGAGGCCAAAAGTTACAATCATTGATAGTATCAAAGTAGTTTTTAGCAATACCAAGCTTAAAAGATTTCATCCTGTTTCTGACCACCAGCTTCTGAACAGAAAGATTGCTATCATCCACTTTAAGTTTATTTTGCACAAATTCATGCACCACATCTTCACTAACTTCTTCCGAGAAACGACCCACGTACAGCCAGGATCTATTGGAGAACGGAACAATTTTCAATGCCTCAATTGACTGACCAGTGCCAACCAGGGTCCCTGACCTCTGCTGAGTTGCAAGTATGGATTGATTCATAGCACCAGTCATTGTACTCATATTTAACATATTATTATGTCCTGGAAGAACCCCAAACTGTGAACTATTAGTATTAGCTGGTAATTGCTTAAGCCAGGGCTGAGAGTTTATCAATATGTTAGTGTTATTTCTACTAGGTGGGTTGCCATACAAAGTATTTTGATTATTTACTATTGACTGTGTGCTATGTCTGCTTTCAATCTTAAACAATAAAGTATACTAAAATTATTAACCTTCGTCTTCCCACATCAAAATCCCATAATGAAAATGATACTTCTGATAATTAAACATGATTAAAGAGTACAGTTAGCGAAAAAAAATAATAGTTAGAAAATGGTATTTCCGACCCATGCGTGCCATCTTTCGATTTATAAATCATTTTTCCATCTACTTCCCGTAAGTGATTTCTAAGTTTTGCAGCTTGGAAATCTATTTCCAACCAATCCAACCTGCAAATTTCCTGCAAGATGACTACTTGATAGAGTAGCCACAGATTCCCAAGTGGGGTACGTCATAGAGTACATGTGCCCCACGCTATGCAAAAATTAATATTTCTAAATAATAAATAAATAGAAAATTTTTGATGATCACTAATTATGTGCAAAGCCCTCACTGACAAAATAAAATTAGTCACAAAAAATATGCACTTTTTGGGAAAATATGCTAGAAAAATTGTTTTCTGGGGTACATTTGTACCCCACCTGGGAAGACGAAGGTTAAATACAATAGTCAAGTTGTCACGACTGCGACTTAGAGCTCATGTGGACTTGGTTTAGGTGCTTCTTTAAGCTGACTGAAAATAAAAATACAAAACACAATAATAATAACAAATTTACAAAAATAATTCTCACCTTTATAATAAGTTTCAAAACCACAAACATTACAAGTAAAGCTTGTTCTTTGGCTATCCGGAACATGACACCTGTAAATATGCATTTGCAAGTTCCTTTGAATATTTGTTTTGAATTTGCAAGTCGAACAGGGAAAAACAGTTTGCTCTGATGCTGCTAAAAGCGGTTCTTTGTGCTTATGCTTCAAATGTAATAAATACCCTTTACGCTGATTGAAAACTTTACTGCAATGTTCACAGGTATATTGTTCAATAAGAGGTTTATCATCAGATAATAAAGCATGACGACGCATGTGCCATTTGAACATACCTACAAATAATTTGGAGTAATAATTTTTTGTATATTATTGTCTTATTAGTTATTACCCTTATGCACAGATGTAAATTTACAATCTTTGACATCGCAAAAATGCATTTCTTCTATTGGTGTTTCACGATGTTTGAACTTGTAATGCATTGAAATTGAATGAAAAGTTTCGGCAGTGAAGGGGCATAGAAGACAACACAATATTTTTTCCTTTTTGTCATTTAGTACAACTTTATAGGTTTCAAAGCTAAAACATGAATTTATGTTTTTATAAATTTCCAAGTCTTCATGCAAAATTACTAAATTCATTCTTACACTGGTTTATTAGTTTTCTGATAAACATATGGTTTGAAAGAGTCATCATCAAGACAAACAACCCTTTTTTGTTTCACTGACTGATGTTTCTTCAATAACATTTCCTCGATCTTCCTACTTTCTGTTTTATTAACGTTGAGCAAATTATGCTTTTGAATGTCGGATTTGCAAACTTTCTTAGTAGGCTTGGAATGCTTATTGATTACTACTTCGTTGTTCTTTGGGGTTGGGGAATTTGAATTAAATGCAGAGATGTCCAACTTTACAAGTCTGATGACCAATTTTTCGTGTTTTCCTATGTTGTTTATTAATTCTTGAGAAACTAAAAAGATCTTAACTTTATCTCGAAATTTGATACAATTTTCTCAATACATAGATAAGCTGAAAGCCTTTTTGAAGAGGAAAAAGTACAAACTTACCTTTACTGCGCCTTTTTCCCTTTTTCTTTTTTAAATTTGCTTTTTCTGGTAATGATATTTTCCTATCTTTAGTGGAGTTTTCTTTATAATTAGTATCTTTTGTTTGATGGTGCATTTTTTTAATTTTCACTAGAATATGTTAATAGTTCGTTACAATTCTAAATAAATAAAGAATAACTGATATGATATGAAAATATAGAAAATAAATAAGAGAAACTATAAAAAGAACCAAATAAAATAAAAATAAACAAAACTCAAGGATTTTAATTTTTAGCCACCCATCAAAGAAAACGGTTTGAGTTTGAGGTTATGTTGAGTTTGAGAGTTAAACAGTTTGAACGGTATGTTCGATAATCTGCACTAATTACTCTAGTCCATGTGAACTGCTTTCCAGTACCCCTACTCCAGAGTAACACAACTTGGTGCCGTTTGAGTAAGAATCATTCAGTGTGCGAATTTCACTATCCTCTCGGAAAAACACCCAGGAGGTTGTGAGTCCATGCGAATGTAAAACATTGACTACATGGATTTAAAAAACAGTTCTTTTTTAGATCTGCTCGGAACGAATAGCACCGGAGCTTATGACTTCCAAGAACACTCAACCTAATAGGACTTCTTATTGAGCTGAAAATGTCTACGATTTTAGCCGCAGACCACAACTTTTGGCGTAAAATCCATAAGCCGAGTTTAAAACACTAGAGGTCAAAAAAACGAATTCCTAAACGTTATATTCTTGTTAAAAAAAACAAGTGGTGACTAATAGTGGTGACGTCACTCGCAGTCCCTGCTGACTCGAGATTGGCGAACGCCTCAGGATGAGCAATCTTTTTAGTTTACGATTCTTGTGTGACTCAAATGCATAGACGTGTCAAATCACAAGAGCGTTCCAGTTCTGTTTAGTCCAGAACAGTTTGAAAGTGTCACACTCCAGAGCTAATATTTACCTTGCGTTCGGTATTTTGCTCAAAGAGCAGAGCGTGCTAAGCGGAGCCGTAATCACATAACCACGGAGCGCACAGAGGCAGAGCAGTTAAACTCTGTATTAGAGTGCCCGAAATTTTAATAAACGAACGCGAATGAGCCTGCACCGAGTACACTTTTTAAATAAATGGACGGTAAATCCAAGCTCGGAGAATTCAGATCAAAATACCGAAAACACAGTTTAGGCAGAAAGGCTCAGTAAAACTGACACAACGCTCACAGGATCCTGACAGGATCTAGTGCACAGTACACAGTTAGTGCGTAATAATTTTGAAATTACAGGACAATAATCTGTATTTGGGCAGTAAGTGAGCAGAGATTTTTCACGTTCAACTACCCGATTTCATCAGTTCGTGCAGTTGCTTTTGCTAGGCGCCTTGAACTGAGTTCGGCTTTACACTTTGTAAACTCTGAGCGCGCTCGAAACGATAAGATCCTGTACGCGCTGTACGCTCGGGTTACAATCGAACACGTACTCTGATACTGTGTAATAAGTATCGAAAAATCGAAGAATATAATCGCTATACGAATTTCGACTCGACTCGTAAAATAGAATCCGACAGCAGGATTTTTTCCATCCGCGTTGCGCTTATGACTTTTTCACGGCGCACTCTGCGTATGACGACATGATATCCTGATATCCATGCTCATACCGTTCCGCGCCGAGTAGTGCAAAGCCGAACTCAGCATCACAGAGCGGGGCGCCCTGGATCACGATTTTGAAATGTGTCAACCGTTCATTTTAATCGGGGTGTCAAGCCCCGGGGTTGTCTATCCCCACCGCTAGCTCCTCAGCAAGGCGTCGAAGCTCCACAGCTCCAATGTCCGAACTGTCACTAGTTTTAAACCTTTTAAAAAAGTTAAAAGTTTTAAACCTCAGTTTAAAAGTGTATGTTCGATAACTTGCTCTATTTACTCTACTCTGTATGAACTGCTTATCAGTAACCAACCTAAGCTGCTCTAGAATAACTCAACTTGATGCCTTTCCAGTGAGAATCAATCACATGAGTAACATTATTTTTGGTGAGTGAATTTCACTCTCCTCTCGGAGATAACTTCCTTGTTTCTTGCTTCAGCTCTTTTTCGCCGGTCAGGGTTTGTGATCCTATACGAACGATATGGACCACTTGGATTAAGAAAAAAATAATACGTTCTTTTTTAGAGTTGCTTCAAATGATTGCGAACCAATGGTTCCGGAGCTTGTGACTCCATTCGGAGTACTCGGATTTAAAAAGGCGTTCTTTTTTGGTGCTGTTCCAAATGACTCCGAATGAATAGCACCGGAGCTTGTAACTTGTGAAGGAACGAAGCTTTGAACTAATCCTATAATCTTTTAGGGTGTTCATTTGTACTGATTTTCTTGTTTCAAGCACATCTCAGCAACAGATCGGCGTCCATTTATCCCATATATAAGCTCATAGCAGATCTTCCTGATTTTTCGAGCGTAGATCAAGTACAAACGAACAGCCCATGTTGTTTGTGTCGCATTAACTTGAACTAAGAGCAAAATATTTCAGGTTTGTGGTGTCACCAGTTCAACTAATAACTGCTCTAGAACAATAAATATTCTGACACAAACGAACAGAGTTTTTTATTATATGATTTTTAATTTGAAAGGAAGATACAAACACAAAGAACCTAGCAGTTGAACCTTAAAGCAGGTAAAGCCCTGTCCTACGGACATATAAGGGTAGGAACGCGCCATTCTGCTTATAAAACTAGTGAAGCCAAGTTTTTGACAGGTGTTAGGCACCAAAATACAGGTAAAGGAAAAGCCTATACCGCCATTGTTTTGGTGCCAAAATACATGGAAAAAAACGGCTTCATTTCCCAATTCCATGTTACTACACTTCTCTTTATCTTTACCTGCTCTAAGAGTTGAACGCTGTATCAGAGTGCCCAAAATTTTAATAAACGGACGCGAGTACGTGAGCCTGCACCGAGTACACTTTTTAAATAAAAAACGGTAAATTCAAGCTCGTAGAACTCAGATCAAAATACCGAACGCACGGAAAGGAGTAATGCATAGAATAAGGTTTAAGGGGAAACAGTTTGGAATAAACTGCACTTCACAAACGAACGCCCCAAAGCAGGAAGTGCTGATCCAAACAAAACAAAAAAACAACCACTATAGAAAAACATAACATAACCCATCTCAAATACTGTCGCAAATCAGAACAAGAGCATTCCAGTTCTGTTCGATCCAGAACAGTTTGTATTTGTCTTACTCCAGAGCTAATAATTTAAGCACGGGAAAACTGAAAAAACCCTCACACGATCACAGTGCACAGTCAATCCGCAATAATTTTGAAATTGCAGTGCAATAATCTGTGTTCGGGTAGATTAGAGCAGCGAACCAACAAAGATTTTTCATGTTCGACTACCCGATTTGTTCAGTTCATGTTCGGTGCAGTTGCTTTTACCAGCGCCAAAAAAGAAGAAGAAACAACTGTTCATAGAATATTTGGGCTTTTATTGATATTTTGAATTATGTAATTTTCATAACATTTTTCCTTTTCTTAAAAAACGTTGATTTATTGAAAGGAAATAATTCTTTTGGTACATCAATATGAGTGTCAGCGAAATTGAAATCAACCAATTCGAATCATCGGTTCCAAATCCAAAGCTTCAGCTCTCAACTACAGGAAAAATTCTCATCGGGGTCACTGGTAAGGTAACCCTAAAAGCTTTATTTTATGGGGGCTCAATAATTCATTTCACAATTTTTGCGTTTTGGTGTCTAAGATTGAAAAAATCCCCCAAAATCGCCTGTATAAAATACTTCCAGCTACTTATTTTACCAACATTTTGAAAAAGGAATATGTTTCCCGCCATGATGACGTACAAAGACCTACTGACCAATAGGATGCAAGCAAACAAAGCGACAATGCCAGACCTTCTAAATTTTATTGATATTGTCTATAGTCTGTGATCAAAATAACTGGTATTGACTCATATAATGCCGCACACAATAGCTAGACTATAGGTCTGTTCCAACTTCAGATTTCAAACACGTCAAAAACTCTCCAATGAACGGTTTGGAAATTACTCTATAACAATACAAATTTTGAATTCTACGCACAAATTTCAAATACATACCTACCTATCTCTAGCAGATATCGTGGAAATGACCATGTTAAACTTCCTTTTTTTTTTCAAAATGATGAATACTTGATACATCTATTTTTTGGCACATATAGTTTTGAAAGTAGTTAGAATTATTTTATCAAAAACCAGTCTGGCAACGGCGCCCAGGGTGACAGGATTTGAATCTCTCATTGGCAAGAACATCTATGTAGGCCACAAAAGCGCGCCAAAAGTGCGGTTTCAAACACACCGTTTAAAAGTTGCAGTTTAACATCATTGGATGATTTGAAAGACGCGTTTTGGCAAATTTCGTTACACGAGAGAGAAGAAAGATATAACAATATAACGTAGAGAGACGAAGAAAGACGGCCAATGTCAATGAACCAAGGATATTAAGCAAAGAGGATTGCCTATTATTATCAAAGGCCGATACCCTTGTGACGTCAGTACAGATGCTCATCTTCCTTTTGTGTGGTCCTTTGTTTTTACCTTGCCTGATGCGCTAAGTCTAATTTGTATCATAGGGGAATAGTTTTTAAGAAGTTTCACCTTAGCACATGATTTTATTTTTTTTATAAATTAACGGAAAAATAGTCTGTGGTGAAATGACCCTAATATGAAAATAACTGGTGTTTAAATTCACTGTATACCTTATACCAAAGTTTATGTTGACTCCTTTTTCTATTAATTTGTTGTTGAAGGAGGAGTAGCACTGGGCCTGACCGTAATCTGTGCCCCATTTGTGAGTCCTGCCCTAAGAAAGTTCTGTCTGCCCTATATACCAGCCACAAACGAGCAACTGAGTAACATATTGAGTGCTCTTAGAGGAAGAAAAGGCACGTTACTCGATTTGGGTTCAGGAGATGGACGTATAGTCATAGGTAAACAAATAATTATTTCAATCAAAAAATCAAACACTAGTTTTCTTTTAGAAGCGGCAAAAAATAAATTCGTATCTGACGGAGTAGAATTGAATCCTTGGTTGGTGCTCTATTCGAGATTTAGTGCATTGAAAAATGGTTTAGGTTCGCAGACCAAGTTTTTTAGGAGAGATCTATGGAAATATGATGTTTCAAAATATGATAATATCGTTATCTTTGGGGTAGAACAAATGGTGAGTACTAATAGTTATTGTTTCAACTAATGAAAGTACCAAAGATTTGATAAATTCATTTACCACTTCAACCTCAATCTTAATTTTTCTTTCTATAGATGGCAGATTTAGAGAAAAAATTCCTAAAAGAATGCAAACCTGAATGCAACATTATAGCCTGCCGATTTCCTCTACCCAATTTAAGGCCTACAAGAACCGTAGGCCACGGTATCGACACTGTTTGGATATACGACATTAGGGACTCTTGACAGTTACAGAAAACCTATTTTTCACCCTATGGTTGGTTTATTTCAAACAGTTCCATATTGTATTTTATATTGTTATTGTATATGTTGAAGTAATAGGAAATTTGAGTTAATTTTTTTTAATGTATACAGAGAGATTGTAAGTAATAGAGGAGTGGTAAAATAAAATATTACTTGTATTCAGAAAAAAGGAAAAAATCACCAATGTATTACATACTTAGACCGGGATTGATAAAGATTTACCATACCTATACGTATACATTATAGATTTTTAGATAATACTATTTAATTTATACATGTGATTCACAGAATACTAAGTTCATTTTGTTATTATCAAATATTAGAAAGGTCTTTATGTACAAAGCTGTAAAATTTGTGAAAAGTGCACAGCTATCACAAAAAAAAAATCATTTTGCTAATTGCTGAAATGAATTCTCTCCATGCATTGTACCTAGCTTCTTGCATAGGTACCTTAATTAATTAAAATAGATAAATCAAACCAGACACAGAAGAAATAATTCACTGCACAATTTGCAACATCTTTAAAGCTAATTAATTTATATTGCGAATCTATTTGACACCCTATTGAAAAACTAACCCAACAGGTAATTTTACAAATTTCACTATAAAAACTCCAAAAAAAAAAATCCTAGAACAATAATGAAAACCTATGTTTTTCAATGATAGGAAAATCCTAAAAACTACTTTTGTTGTGATGCTTTTTTCATGTGATTTTTACTTTTCATGTGCTGCATGAACTGCAACTCAGAGTTACTGGTGCTGTTGCAAGACGCACAATAGTAATCACCCGAAGGTGTCCGGTGTACAGCCAGATCGATGTACGGTTCTGGTTCTACCGGTGGAGGTGGAATACTGAGTGATGCTAGAAGAAAATAATGTAGTTTTAAGTTATTTTGTGGCATCTTTCCCAATAGAAACTGTCCTAGGATCTAATATAGACAATATGACATAAGATATTTTAAAAAAAAACTTACTCGCTGCTTCAGTAGACATCCTGAGCACAGTGTAGGCATCCATGCCTAAACTTTTTAGCTTTTTCGCATGGTTTTTACCCCTAAACAGACACAATTTAAAAACGTATTTTTGATAAACTTGTAATCAACTTACTTATAGTGCGTATTCAATTGCTCCTGATTAGTGGCATTGATTTTACAAATATCACAATGAAATTGCCCAACCACTTCAACTTTCTTTTTCTTGGCAGGGGGTTCTGAAGGAGCTGGAAAAATACTCAAAGGTACAGGGCCAATAATTGGTTCAGGACTAGTTGTAGATTCTGTAACAGGCTTCGGTGTCTTGAAGGCCGCACCAAAATTGTCTTCGCCTTGTTCGAAGTCGTAGTTTTTCGACTTTTGGCCTCTAAATTATTATACCATGCGAAATATGATTTAAATCAGAGTAGATTACTTACTTGGTTCGCACCCATTTGCCCTCAGCGTTGAAATAACCGCTACCTGCTGGTGCTTTGTGTCCCAGCATTGCTCTAGAGACAAATAAGTAAAAAATATGTGTGGAGGACAAAAGTAAAATTATTCACTCACTTTTGGTGATTTTTGCCCATGTAATGGGATTCAGCGTGCAATTGCCCTGTTAAATCCAAATCGCATAGGTCACAGTGGAACCATGCAGGATTCTGTTCTGCTGACTAAAACAATTTCAATAGATAATTGAGTTAAAATGGTTAAAAATACATAAGAAACTTTTGTGTATTAAGTATTTAAATTTCACCTTATCTTTTTTTGCACTAGGGCTTGGCAAAGCTCTAGCAGGTAAAGGGGCACCTGTTGTAGCTGACCAATCGACCAGCCATTTTCTAACTTTTTTCTCGTGATTCTTGGATTTGTAGTGAGTCTTGGCCGTCTGGTTGCTTGATAATTTTATGGCGCATAATTTACAAAAAAGTGGTTGAAATTGGGCTTTCAACTCTTTGGGAAGTGAATCGTCCAGGAGGTCTGGGACAGTTTGTTGAACTGTAATGAAATCAATGCAATTATATCCAATTATTTATATGTAAATTATTTTTTCAAGAAAAATAAGATGTCAACGAAAATTTTAACTTACATATATTTTCTCTGTACGTCTTTGGTTTTTCTTTTATTTCTGTGAGAGTGTCGAATATTTTGAGAGCAGTATCATCAACACCAGGAGGAGTTGGATGAGTGTAACCTTTAAAAAAAATGTTGGATTTTAATAATTTGATTATTTCGGATCATTTGGTGAAGTAAGTCAAAATAAGACAAGACGTATATGGACAAGGCAATATGCATTTCCATTGTGTATTTGGGATACCAATTTTCAATTTGCTATGGTCAATAGATTAAGTTTTACCTGATGAACTGGGTACCTGGACCTGGCCATTGTATACTACAGAATTTCCATATCCTGCAAAAAAAAAAATTATAAGAAAAACGTCATTTAAAAGAATGCTCTTTCTTATTGAAAGGAAAGACAAGCTTTATCTTTCAAGTTTCCAAATTCTTCTACAAATAGAAAAATGTGGAATTTGAAATTCAATTTTGAATATTATACTTGAAAGATGAGCTTCTATAGTTATTTGAATGTTAGATACAATACAATTATTATTTCTAAGAAATTCACATAATTACCTTGTCCTGGCACATTTCCATAAGAATCCGGATAAAATTGATAAGAACCAGTAGATTGGTATGGATAATTGTAGTACAAATTCGCTAAGGCCGATTGGTTGTGGTGGATACTACTTTCATCTGTAGTGCTGTTGGCTCGTTTTCGAGGGATTTTAAAATTTAGCTTTTTCTCTGTAAAAAAAAAGATCAATATTTGGATGCAGTGCCAATCAATCAAGGGTTTTACCGTTTTATCAAATAAAAATTACTTTACTGGGTGATTGTCTATATTTTGCACCCACACCTATCTCACCTATTTGAAAAGATACCCCAAAATGTCAAATGGGAAAGTTGTAGGATTGGTGGGATTGGTTGTAGGTAATATCAGAAACTTTGCAATGAAGTTAGTTACAAGTATACAGGGTGTGTCATAAAGGTGTGGCAGAGCAAATTTATACGTTTTTCAATTTCAATTTTCAATTTCAAATAAGCTTTATTGCCCAAAAATTTCACAATTTCATTGACAAAGCAAAAAGGAGTGTTATAATTAATACTTAAAATAAATACAATATCCAGTAATTCCAACTGAACAAACACAAGACAAGAACCGAGACAAGAACAGTTTGACAGTCTAAAACACATTACAATATTTACATTAACTGACATTATTTATAAAGTATGTATAACACTATAGTTATCCCATTCAATCTTCTTAATATTCAGTAAGACCATAATATGCCTTGGCGACCAGGTAGTTTTTTACAGACATACGGAACTCTCAAAGCAGTCCCCATCTTTAATGTCTTGAGGAAGATGGTTAAACATTTTCACACTTTCATAAATTATTGAGTTTTTTGTAAGGGAAAGCTTTGGTATTGGCAGTGGCAGGTAGTTTTGCCATAAACTGTAGTTCCTGTCTTGTACAAAACCAAAAAACTTTCTATAAATCAGAGAAACTGACTCGAGAATAAAAATGCGGGGCACCGTTAACAGGTGACCCTGCAGCTTTTTTTACAAAGATAACGTAGGGCTCTCTTTTGTAGCACAAATATGGACTGTATAGATTTTTGTGTAGAGTAATCCCAGAACGCTATCCCGTATCTGATGTGTGATTCTAGCAAGTCCTAATAATATAACATCCGCTTGCCAATTTTTTATTTAAATGGTCAATATGGGAGTCAAACTTCAGTTGTATGTCAATGTGCAACCCAAGAAACTTCATGGTTGTTCTATTTGCCAGGATTTCGCTTTCTAGTCTGATGTCAGTCAAAGAGCACTTGAAAGTGAGTATGTTTGTTTTTGTATGTTAAAACAAAATTTATTTGTGTCACACCACATGACTCTTCAAAAAATCCACTTGTTACTCTTTAACAATTTTCTCTATGATATTCGAGAAAGTACTTAATAGCAAAATAGGTCGATAATTCGATGGATCTGAACTGTCCCCCCCCCCTTAAAGATTGGGATTACCACTGCCGATTTCCGACAAGGAGGAAATATTCCAGCGCCCAGAGACAAATTAATACAAGAAGCTAGTGCCTCTAGAGCACTGTCTGGCCAGTTTTTCATGATTTTTGCAGAAATACTATCGCATCCCGAAGCATTCTGGTTTTTAATACTTTTACAAATTTCCCTGATTTTATGTTTATTTTTTGATTTGAAAGTTTTTAAATGGAACATCCCGTATATTATGGACCTATTGGATTAAGCCTCTCAAACCTGATTCCAAATATACTAAGTTTTTTAGGTTTATTCCTCATAGTCCAGCCTCTGAATATCCTATTATGAAGAAATAATATGGATTTGTCACTTGAATGATTACCTTTATATTTTGCTGGTGGTCTCTATACCTTTTTCAATAATAGCTATTTATATAACAAGTACTTAAAGTAAGGCTTTATTGTACGAATAATTTTATGGCCGAGTGAGCTTGCGAGCAAGGCTATTAAATAATGAGTCAATAAAGCCTGTTTATGTAAGCGTTATATACATGATTTTTTCTCCAAACGTCAAAAAAACGTCACTTTGTTAACTCCTGTCAAGATGTCAGAAATTTGATTTCTATGCTGCCAGGCAAATCCAGCGGGTTAACACCTGTCGAGGTGGTAGAAGTTTAATTTCTATGCTGCTTGGCAACCCCAGCGGCAGCAAAAGTACTTTTTCTACTGACGTTTCATAATAGCAACTTTTCGATTGTCATTTTAGTTTTGAAATGACATTCTTTTGAGCACTCAGTGCGTAAAAGTGACTTTTAGGCACTCAGTGCGTAAAAGTGACTTTCCAGTGCGTAAAAGTGACTTTCAAATGCGTAAAAGCGACTTTCAAGTGCGTAAAAGTAACTTTTAAGCACTAGTGCCTAAAAGTGTTATTCATTGTTCAGAAATAAAAAACACACTAAATGCAAATTTGAATTTTGTTTTGTATTTATTATGAATATTAGTCACCAACATGAAAGGTGTCAAGCAAAAGCAGGCGACAAACATTGAAATAAAATTGTGTTTTTTTATTATGAAACGTCAGTAGAAAAAATCTTGTATACAATACGTTACGAAACGAAATCTTTTAGTCACGCGACGTGAAAATTGTCCAACGAGGCAAAGCCGAGTTGGACAACACGTCTTGCCTAAAAGACACTCATTTCGCAACTTATTGTATAAGTAGCTATTTAGTGCCGCTCGTACTTTTACTGCCGCTGAACCATCCACTTGCCCCCGAGCTTACCCCATTAGTTTGGAGAAAAAATAGCGTGTTGCATACAGAGTAAAGCTTCTACTCCTAATACAACAATATACTATTATGTACGATTATGACTGGTTTTTGTTGAAAATTGAAAAAATTTAATGAAAAAAGTAAAATTCGCATAGGTATACCTGTTTCACCTTGGCAGGTTGTCAGGACCTGTTTAACCTTGGCAGGTTGTCAGGACCTGTTTCACCTTGTCAGGCAGTCCAGGTAGGCAATAAAATAGCACTTTATTTTACTAGTAAAATAAAGTAGCACATCAGGTTTGAAAGGCTAATCCAATGGATCAATAATAAAAGGGGTGTTCCATTTGAAAAAGTTTAACTTTGCTTTGCCACTCTTTTGTGACACACCCTGTATACTGGTAACTAACTTCAGTGAAAACTCTCTGATATTACCTCGAGTATTACCTACACTTTCACATTTGACATTTATGGGTAACTCTTCAAACAGGTGAGATAGGTGTGGGTGCAAAATATAGACAATCACACAGTATAATGATGAATTTTTGGTTTCTTGCCTTACAAAATAATAAATGATTGTAGTACTATTGACATCAACCCCATAGAATAATCAACCCTACCAGCAATTTGGAGACAGGGTTGGCAAAACTGCGAGTTTCTGAAAATTTCTATTAGGTTTTTGTGTTTGTAGACCCGTGCGCATTTCTTCATTATTTTGGTCAAGGAAATGACGGGTTCAGAAGAGAGAGAGGGCCTTGTTTACAACTCTGATGCATCCCCACCATGACCCCCTTGAGCAGCTCCTCTCTTCTGGCCTATGGGGGGTCTTGTCATCACAAAAAACATCAGTTTATGAATGAGATGAGATGTGTGTTAAGATGTCATTGATAATAACCAAGGTTCCTAAATTTAATAAGTTGTCTGATAATGGGTAACTTGATTATGTTTAAGCATACAGATGACGTCATAAAAGTTATCAGGCAACCTCTCCCTTTTAAACAACCTTGGATGTCAACCATGTTTTGAGAGTCACTTTTAGTTCAGGTTTCTTCACCCCCAGATAAACTGCATGCAGGTATGCAATCTGACCATTGAAGTAGTAAGGAGGTTGGAATAGCCCGAGGAATAGCCCTTCGCCTATCTACTCAATACATATATTTGCGGCCAACATTAGAGTGAGAGAACAGGAGAGATCCATGAGATTTTCTTGCCCTTACTAGCACTATCTCACTCAAGGTTAGAAAGAGAGATATGGGAGATCCAATATATTTCATGCCATGCCCTTACTAGCGCTATCTCATTCTGGAATCAATTGAATGACGCAAAGCTCATTCCATATCTCTTTTAGGGTGGGTATTATAAAACTGCTTTGACAGTTAACTTGAAGTTAACTTTTTGAATTACATGTAATTCCAGAAGTTAACTTTAAGTTAACTCTCAAAGTAGTTTTATAATACCCGCCCTTAACTTCATTGAATCTGACTAATAAACTAAATCTGTAATCCCCCCATTGGTCGGCCAGTTATCCGCCGACCAATAGAATTATAGAAGGTTCACTTTATGCTGCAGGTAGTTAGCAGCAATAGGTTTATCTGAAGATTAATGAACCGGACCTTAGTAGCCAAATAGGGGTTTCAACAAAACATAACCTCAAAAAGAATCCTGATTTGTTCTCATTGATGAGTACTTGTGTGTTAACTGCAGCAGTTTGAGTTATTCGAGCCAATAAATACCCATATTTGAGCAGATTTTTATGAAGCAGTTATTGAACTGTCCCACCCACTTGAGCAGTATAAATTCTACCAATCCATTTCAGGACAGATTCTTATTCTAAGGGCCGGGTTTCTAAGATTTTCAAGCTAAAATCTGAATTCCAATTAGAATTTATATTTGAAAATTCAGAAACCTCTGGCATGTTGTAAATTTCTTCCCGGATAAAATTTAAAGGTTTCAAACAAACTAGAGTATCTTACAGATGAATAGATATCTTTAATTATCTTACCTGAAAAAAATTCGCCATCCTCTGTTGCCTGCATGTCTTCTTCGATTTTATGTTTCTTATAGAATATGGAATTATTATTTTTTTGAAAATCCCAAACCCCAAACCAAACTAACCAAAACACTACAAAAAAATTCGAATATTTTTGGGTCGGGACAAGTCAAATGCCAAATTACACATCTAGTTTTCTTTTGTATTTACTCGATATACTCTGGAGTAAATCTAGCAGATCCAGATGAAAACCTTTATCAATTTGCACTGAGTTCGAATACTCTATTTAACTCTTCCACTCCATGTGTTCGGGTCCAGGTGATGAAAATCTACTCTAACCCACTCCAACTTCAGAGTACAATCCCCAAACTCTAAAGGTCTGTTTCCACAGAAATCACAAACTAGTCAGAGCGAATTTTATTGGTTGAAAATAGTCAGGAAACTGGTTATTGCGGCGATTTGGACCAATCAAAAACGCACTGACTGGTTTGTGATTTCTGTGAAAACAGACCTCTAAGCAGCTCATATTATGCTAAAATCTATTGCTCAAATTCAATAAATAGTAAATACATAAATTTTAAATAAAAATTCGAGAAATAAGAGGATTTTATTTTGTATTTGCTTGCTGGACCTTTTCTAATCAATCCTGAAACTTTTTTTCTCAAAATGAAATCGCCTTTGACAGTTGATGTTGATGGTTTTATTTGACATCTTGTAAAAGTTGTAAACAAACAATTCAACCCATTTTCAACTTTTCTCATCTACAATTTATTGAAAATCAACTAAACTAAACTCAAAATGGCCTTAGCAATGCAAAGAAAAACCAACGTAAGTACAACTGTTTAATCCTACAATCAAACAAAAGTATTTTTTTTTTGTTAAGGTTCGCCTGCCCCCAGAAATAAACAGGGTCCTCTACATCCGAAACCTCCCCTACAAAATCACCGGCGAAGAAATGTACGACATATTCGGAAAGTACGGTGCCATAAGGCAAATTCGAGTGGGCAACACTCCGGAAACCAGAGGCACTGCTTTTGTTGTCTACGAAGATATTTTTGATGCTAAAAATGCTTGCGACCATCTGTCCGGGTTCAATGTTTGTAATAGGTATTTGGTGGTGCTCTATTATCAGGCCAATAAGGCTTTCAAGAAGACCGATTTGGATAAAAAGCAGGAGGAGATTGATAAAATGAAGAGCAAATATGGAATTAATACTTAAGTGACTTTTATTGTTTAATATAAGGTATATTATTATTATCTCAAATTGAACGTTTAATTCTCAAGCAAGTGGTAATCCAAGCTAGAATTGTATCGTATGAGTTTAATTAAAGTAACATTTTTCTTGCCTTCCATGTTTTTTTCCACCTGAAAATTCCCATTATCAAAGTACAACAAACTCGAGCACGTCTCTTACGACAAAAGAAAACGCTATTTATTGAGTTAACGTGACGTCATATATATATGACCTTACGTTTATGAACGCACCTCCTTGCTGTCAACCATGTCATTGGTTTGTTTTCGTTCTGTCAGGGAGGTGGTTATTCCACTTTATTTTTTACAGGTGACTGTTTTAGTGTTGGTAGTCTGTTGATTTTTGCGAGGTGAGGCTGGGATTGCGCGACTACAGACGGATTTCCTCAATTTTCCGGGACCTTTTCGCGCTCCGGGTCGAAGTTTTAAATTAAAGTTTAATTTCGCGATGTTTCTGTGATACTTTCGTTACGTTTATTGCGGTTTTGTTCTTGTAACTCAACAATGGAGGTGTATGCATTGAAAGTGGTTGCATTGTTATTGGGTAAGTTTTTAAGTGTTTGCGTTACCATAACTACTTAGATAAACAAACACGAAAAGTGCATTAGTAGCAGTTTAGTGTTTATTTAAATAGGTTGACTGTGGTTGACACACACTATTTAATAATATTTTGTCCTCAAAAATAATGAATACAACAATTGGAAATCGCATTTTGTGTTCTAATAATTATAGAAACAGAAATATTTACCGTGGTACTTGATAGGAAGTAGGGAAGTAGTAAGTTTCAACATTAAACTATCAGCGTCACATCTAGAAAAATATGACTCAAATTGTATTGAATTATAATTATTTTCATAATAAAAGTGACTAAAATATTATGACTTGTTACTTGTGACTATGACTATATTCATGTCAGTATGTCAACGATGTCAGTCATAATATTCCACTCTTTTGTCAACCTGTCATGCTGCTTTTTGTCTTTAGTCTTTGTAATAATAGGTTTGTTCGGAGTCTGGAAATGGGAAACAGATGACGTCATCTGGGATGCCAACTGCCAACTTTGATTTGGAGCTTCAAATTAACTTTTCCATATGAAAAAGACTTTAATTCATTATTCCGGAAAGTTTCAAGTCACTGTGATTATTGGAAGTATTTTGCACTAGTGATTTTTGTAAATTTTAATCATTTTTATGACATGAGAAAAAGCTCCTAAATTTAGTTTGGAGCTTCAAATCAACTTAAAATCGAATTTTTCACATAGAGGAAATTTCATTCCATAAATCCTGTAAGTTTCAAGTCATTGTGATCATTAGAAGTACTTTGCACAAGTGATTTTTGCAGATTTTAATCATTTTTGCATACATTAGGGTGAGAAAAAGCTTTCAAATTTAGTTTAAAGCTTCAAATCAACTTTTCCACAAAGAAAAAACTTCAATTCATAAATCCTGTAAGTTTAAAGTCACTGTGATCATCACAAAAGTCACATTACATTATTAGCCAGGTAAAACAGTTTTTACTGGCGATTGAAGGAAATGACTAGCGAGCCGTCAGGCGAGCTTGTCACCTTCAAGCAATCCCTTAGTTTTTTTTTGATTTTCTCAAAAATCAGAAAAGCACCTTATTTTTAATTAGAGGCCCTAATTAGCACCTAAAAAGCACCTAATTATTATATACCTAGATCCCAAAGATTTTTTTCCATTCTGACACAGCAACATGTAGGTAAACGTAAAGCCAGCAGTCCCCTAATAATTAAAAAAAATCTGTAACTCAGTTAATAATTTATCAATTCTATTTTTTCTTGGACTATTTACGAGCACCTAAAAAGCACCTAGTTCTGATACAAAAGAAAATTTTGGAAAAATATTTTTTACTATAGGGGACTACCTACTAGCTTTCATAAACCTAGCAATCCCTTAGTTTTTTTTGATTTTCTCAAAAATCAGAGGAGCACCTAATTTTTAATTAGAGGCTCTAGATAGCACCTAAAAAGCACCTAATTATTATATAAATCCCGAAGTTTTTTTTCCATTCTGACACACCAACATGTAATAATAATAAAAGAACTTTATTTATACTGCACACATTACAGGTATACAAGATATCCAATAAAAACATGCACAGTTTTAGGAAAAAAAATAAATGTATAAAACATAGATACAGGGTGTCCAACGGTGGATGGCGTATTAGACGTTTATAGAGAACTAAAAAGCGGATCATTTTGAAAATTTGGCAACCGGTATAAACGACCATAATCTACAATTTAAAAATATTTTTGTTTATGCGGTGTTGCCGCTTCTACCCTAAACCAGTGGCAACAGCGCTATTTTAAATGGAACACCCTGTATCTGATTACATATTTGGATTTCACGTAAAATTCTGAGCAGATTTCATGTGATATACCCTATACCTAAGTTCAACTGTTTTGGAATTATTGACAGTTGAAAATCGACTTTTTGCAACTTTGACAGGCTGTAAAACCTGAACGGTTAATTTTAGAGAAAAACCGATTTTACATTCCTATCTTAGATTTTTATAAACTATCATTTGATACCAACTTCAAATTTAATCCATGATTAAAAATTCCAATTAAATTTAATCTCCGGGTAAATTCAAAGTTGGTGTCAAATGATAGTTCATGAAAATGTAAGATAGGAATGTGAAATTGGTTTTTCTCTTAAATTAACCAATCAGGTTTTACAGCCTGTCAAAGTTGCAAAAAGTCAATTTTCAACTGTCAATAATTCCAAAACAGTTGAACTTAGGTATAGGGTATATCACATGAAATCTGCTCAGAATTTTACGTAGAATCAAAATATGTAATCACATACAGGGTATTCCATTTAAAATTTATTTTTATTTTATTTATTTTATTTATTAACGGCAAACCATTTTACAACTTTACAGCTTTAAAGCTGATTCTAACAATTAAACAATTTAATATATACTATATGAAACATCTACAAATTGGACTATCACATCTGCCAACAAAATATAAAAAAAAAAAATATAAAGTAAGAAATATAAAATATAAAACATATAAAATATAAAAAAGACCTATACAACTTCCAAATTTAAGATTCCCATCTTTACATTTTTTCCCTGTTTTTTTTGAAAATTTACCTATAATATCACAGTTGTTTCAGACAATTCTTTAGTTTCATTTCGGATACACTAAATAAGTCAACTTTTAACTCCATTTGCAATTCATTAAAATTTTTCATTAAAATAGTGTTGTTGCCACTGCTTTAGAGTAGAAGCGGCAACACCGCATAAACAAAAATATTTTTAAAGTGTAGATCATCTGTTTACCCCAGTTGCCAAATTTTCAAAATGATTCGCTTTTTAGTTCTCCATAAACGTCTAATACGCCATCCACCGTGGGACACCCTGTATAAAAATATGTAAATACATGAAAATAAACAAAACTACAGAAGGTTGAAAAAATAATTAAATAGGGGAGACTGGGGGACATTTGAACAAGGGGTAGATTTGAACATCTGATTTTACTTCCAACAGGTTCCCATTTTAAAATAAATAGTTACTTGTACCAGTGGCAACACTGCTCCACCACATATGACCCTATGCTAGGTTGCCTCCAGATATTATTTTAGCTTTCCAGAATATTGTAATGAATTTGAGCACATGTGCTGAAATTTTCACAAAACAGAAATTGTCTTGTAGTTTTATAAATAATAAAAAAAAGTGAATTAGTGTCATACCATTTAAAAGAGGTAAGTGTCAGCTTCTTAATAGTTTTGTTGCTTTTGATGGTTTTATTCTCTGGTCACGAAAAAATATTAGGGTAAGCAAAAAAAGTATGTTGGGGCACATTTGAACAAAACATCGGGGGCACATTTGAACACTATGCAGTTAACTTTTTACTCAAAAATGCATGTGTTTTAGGGGATATTTCAAGGTAGATGTTATTTTCAGGTGCAAAATGGTTCGTAACTACAAAAGAAAAAAACCAGAGCCTGTTTACAGCGAACAGGACGTAGAAGCCGCAATTAGGGCTGTCCGTGATCAGAATATGACACTGCGTGAAGCAGCTACACATTATGGTATGTCACACACAGCTCTATTTTACCGCCTAAAGAAGATAAAGGTTAACGACGAGGGAACGGTTACTTCTTCGGTTAAACACAATTTCCATTCCAAATTCTCCAGCCAACAAGTATTTTCCAAAGAACAAGAATTAGCATTAGTTGAATATGCTATTAATTCATCAAAAATGTGCTATGGTCTTACCTACAAACAGATGAGAGTTCTTGCTTACGACTATGCAGCAAAATTGAATTTAAAAATGCCGAACAGTTGGATTGAAAAACAGTTAGCTGGAGAAGACTGGCTTTACAGCTTTATGCAACGACATCGAAATTTTAGTATTCGCAAACCTGAAAATACCTCACTCTCGCGGTTGACTTCATTTAACAAAACAAATGTGGAAGCATTTTTGACAACTACGAAAGGGCCCTTAAATCTAAAAATTTTACAGCATGTCAAATATTCAATCTTGATGAGACTGGCGTGGCCACAGTCCTACAAGCACCAAAGCAAGTCGGTCAGGCAGTTTCGGCAGAAAGGGGACAGTCAATTACATTGTGCATGGCCTTATCCAAAGGCTGCGCCTCGATCTGATTTAGCCAGAGGAAGGAAAAAAGGCAAATCACGCATTTTAACAGAAACTCCTGAAAAGACAAGATTAGAAGAGGAAAAAATGGAACGAGAATCTAAAAAAAACAAATCTATGAAGCAAACCCTACAAAAAATTGATAATGTTAAAAAAAATGTTTTCAAAGCCTTGTGTGAAGATGAGTCTGATGAATCTATCTCCGAGGCTGACATGTCTCTCCAAGATGACTCGTCAGATGAAATGGAAACATTCAGCGACCTAGAAAATCAAGAACCAGATACCACTGATCTAAAATTGAATGATTTTATTCTCGTTTCATTTAATACGAAAAAATCTCAGTTATTGTTTGTTGGCCAGATTGAACACATTTTCAAATCTGGTTCCTACACAGTTAAATTTATGAAGAGAAAAGAGGGTACATGGAAATTTCACTTCCCTGAAAAAGATGACATTAGTGAAGTAG